GTGGGGGTGGGGGGGTTCACCGCAAACAAGGGGTAATCGAGAAAGTCTCGGTTCCCAACATAATATAATATAGCATAGCATTGTTTTGTACTATAGCTACATATCATTGTATACCAATGTGGTATAGTTAAGTGCTCTCTGAGGCCTCATATTTTTTACAAGACAAAGCTCAGTCTAGTATAATTAACATTTGGTCCTGCTTAAGTTCGGATTGAGCTTCCCAACATAGTGGTATCAAGATCCCTGGATTACACAATGTACAGAACGCAACCACTATAATAGGGAGCTTCCTGCTTGTGATGATCCCGTGCTCTTGATCCTGATCCCAATCCAAGTAACTATGGGTTATACATGTCCTGATGCTACCTATTCAGACCCATGCAATTGGATTTGCTTCTTGGGTTCTTAAAGTGTATTTTCGACAAGAAAGCGGGGGCCTGGTTCTGATAATCATATTCACTTTTGTTTTTTTAGTACCGCAAAAAGCCTTTTTGCAAATTTACTTGGTTACTCAGTTGACTGAGCAAGCATGTGTATAAAGTTCTTGTAGTACCTAACAAATAATTTGATTGCTGTCTTTGCCAAGAAGAGGTGAGGTTTCAAACCTTGGCATGTATACTTTGACATTGAATTTCTGCATCGCCTATTTAGGTTCAAGAGAGAGGCCTTTTGGAGAAGGATCCTTGATTGCATGACCCTCTGGATGCTGTTGAGAGAGTGCAGAATCTTTGGAAAAGGATCATGGAAAAATAAAATGAACTGGTAATGATTCCAAAGGCCATCGTCATTTGATGGTGAGGGGCAGAGAACCCATCTTTCATTATGACAACAAAAAGCTTTGTGAGAACATGGCAAGAAGAGGAATGTGAAAGGAAACATATCAATTGCATATCAGATTTCTTCCATTTCTCCCCCATTGCTCAAAATACCTGCTTTGATTGGTCTTGACGAAGGCAGTTAGGAGAGATTGAGTAGGGTGATATGTCTTGTGTTCCAACACTTTCTCAAGTCTTTAATGGCAACATCAAAAAACATGAGGGATTCCAAAAGACCTAAGTGAATGGCATGTGCAAAGGTGATTAGTGATGAATTTATGATATTGTGTTTTTTCATGGGATCAACTAACTATTGAAGAATAACATAGTGATGCTTTCAAGAGTGTAGTGGTGATTAGTGATGATGTTATGATATTGTGCTATTTCATGAGATCAAATACAAACTATTTGAAAAATAAGTTAATGATGCTTTCAAGAGTGTAGTGGTCTCTTGTGGAGATAGGGAGTATGTTACACAGTGTTGGTAGGATCTGGTCTGTTGCTAGGCTGTCATGGGCATGGCGTCACTTAAGGACTTTCCTGTTGGTGGTATAAGACCATTGGGCTAGAAATGCAATCTTTCAAAAATTTCCCATTGTATTAAAACTCAAGGGTTTAAATGCATAAATATCTTAATACAAAACCATAATACATATATTCCAGCCTACAAACATGGTTTATGCACATTTAAATAATAAAAATTCAACCCTAATAGGTCGCTTACAAATCCCTTACTCAAAAATATATTCAAATACTCACAATGTACATCTCTACAAAATATTACATGACTTGCACTCACAATTCCTCATTCTATCAACATTATATGATAATTCCATCTTCATTCATCATCCTCATCATATATCACAATGTCTCATACTCATCATAAACTTGCTCATAATATTCCAATGAGATGTCAATTCAAATAAACAATAAAGCATATCATTAAAGTTCATAACGCAAGATTAAAGAACAATCTCAATATTCACACATACTCAATTTAACCAATCATGAACCACTTAATAACTGTAAATGCATCAAATTAACATGAAACATACATGAGGGAAGTCATGGTTCGAACCCCTTGTGCCCGAGCCACGAAATGGCCTTTTAAGGACTTAATTTTGTCCCATTGTTTAAGGTACGAGTGATAATAATAACTCAAAAAGATCAATCCAATGGGAAGCAAATGATCACTTTTATTTCACTTAATGGGGATCAAATCATGAAAGAGACATGTATCAAAATAGCCCTTCAAAGTTTGAGAGAAATACTACACAAAATAAGGGAATTATGGTAAAACTAAACCATGTGGTCCATAAGGGACCACACGAACTTTTTAATATTCAAAAAGGAACTCAAGGGACTATTTCATATGCTCAAATAAGATGAAATAAACCTCTCATCAGTTGCACATTTTCAGTAAAAATTCCAGAGAAATAAGATCAAGGTGAACCTACTCAAGATCACGGAGTACGTACGCTAGTCTACACGTACCATGTGTATGGACTACACTATTGCTTTGAAGCTCTTCAAATATTAAATTTTCATGACCAAAAGATGAAAAAAACTACTGTAAATTAAGAATTATAGCAAGCTTTGATAATGGAAATGAGGTAGAAATTGAAATATATGAAGAAAAATCAATACTTTGGTGAAGCAATATTATGGGCTTGATCTCACATATGAGGGACTACTCCATCAAAAGGTTTCAACTCAAGGCTAAAAAATGAGGATCACTTGAATGGGGGTGTTGATCTCAAGAGGGCCATGGTGGCCATGTTTTTGTCGAGGGGGCTCTCTTTCTCTCTCTTTGAAGTGAAATTCAAAATTAGGGTTACAATTGATCTCATAAGTTACTTTTATACTTAGATCATAAAGATGGATTTGATCTTGATCCTTGATGCCTTAGATCAATGGCACATGAGAGGCTTTTATCCAAGCCACTCATCCATATCTTATCACCATGATCAATGGATGAGATTTTGACATATTTCACTCCTTGTAACTTAGGTTTATAGTCATTTTACCTTAAAGTCTTTAGCTCCATGTTTTATTTCTCATTAGTCCAAATTTATGTTTACACTTTTGCCCTTGGTTTTTGAATAATTTGTGAGAGTCAATAAAGGACAAGGACATGGACATAATGGTAGTATAGGACATCCACACATGTGAATAGGATATCTTATGACACCACCAATAGGATTTCAACAACACTGAAGTTTCACATGGCTCAAGGCCATAAGGTTGTTCCACATAAGATATACCCACAAGCCACAAAATCATATGTGGACAATCATATAAAACAAATTAATTCTCAAAATCACATGACTTCATACATGCCAAAAAAAATGGCACATGTGAGCAAAAAAAGACATGACCTAAATTAAATTTAAGTCATAACAATATATAACACTTTAAATAACAAGATAACATTTTATAACACATTACCACCAGAAGAACTAATGACAAATTGGTCCCCACATAGATATGATGTCATCTACGAGTGGGGAGGTGGGGTTACCACGTGGCATTCCTATGACCACATGGGATCCATGTGGCATCCCCATAGGATGTCCTTGTTTGGTATTTATGTCAACCAAATTTGAAAATCACATTTTTTATTATTTAAAAATTTTAAAAAATGCTCCAAAATCTCAAAAATTCTCCAAATGATTTTTCAATAATACTACACAATTTCTCATTAATATAAAACTTTTTCTCATCAATTTTAGATTTTGGGTCAAAGGTAACTGAGATCTCTAGACTTATAACACTAGTCGGAGTCTTCCATTGAGGCTAACCTTAATGACGTTCCATCAGTGTCTCAAGCCGATCCAATGGACTTGTGCTCCACAATCTATGGAAGGGATACATAATTGGTCACATTAAAGTCGTTGAGTCAGAGCCTCCCGTCACCAAGGGTTCAATGGATTACTGGCGCACCCTTGTGGGACATGTTGTTACTCTAATACAGGGGTCCTCTCAAAGCACATGTGCACTAGCTCTTCTAAGTTAGATAATCCTGTAGAAGAGTGGCTTCCCATACGACTGTGGGTGCACATGCCATGTGACAGTCGTGTCAAGATTACGGGCTCATGTCCCATAAGCCGACCATTCCATGCAAGCAAATGCTCTTTTAAATACTCAGGTTCTATTATACTTAGTTGGTTTCTCCAAGCCCTGGCTTATCGCATCAACTATGAGGCATTCTAATCAATATAGTCCTGACTCGGAGGTGACCCTCACACCTCCTTGAGAGATCACTCTCTCAAAACGCAAGCTCTCAATGCCTCATAAAACTCGGGCTATTTGAATCTGAGCCCCAGTGCGCCAAGCACCCAGATTCAGTCTCCCTCTCTAACTCCCACTGAGAGTAAGACTCGTGTCTTTAAGGCCTTGAAAGGCCACATAGTCAACATTTTCAATATTTTGGTCAAAACTTTAATACTAGAGATATGTTGACGTTAATTATAGACACAGTGACATGATGGCATCAGAGGACTTTGTTAAAATTTGAATAGTTATAAATATTTAGTTTCACAAGCTTCCAAGATAAATCAAACTATCCAACTCGAGCATTAGGAAACAATATATATATGTGTGTGTGCGCGCACACACGCATGCGTGCATGTGTGTGTGTGCACTCATGTTCCCATTACAACCATTTTCCTTATTACCTTCCAAAGCTTCTTCAAATTTATCTTCCCGGTCAGCATTAATTTCCCCAACCAAGCAGCCCTGAGCAACAATACTGACTGAAACACTAAGCTCATGACAATCATCAGTACCCTTGGCAGGGTTTTTTCTGAAACTCTCTCTTCACATATAATCTCAAGAGAATTGAGTGAGTCATTCTTTGTCAAATCACTATCCGAGGAGTCATTCTTTGGGGATTGATAGGAGCTAGAAGCACCAGTAGTTGAACTCATTCCACCCATTCCACTAACTGAAATATCATGACTCGCACACTCTTGTGTAGAGAGAGAGAGGTTTGGCAACTACGTGATTGATTTCTTGCCATTTAATGAAACAGTTTAACTATTTCGATCTATCCACTAACCACAGAATTAAAATATATTTTATCATGCATCCAGGCTGGAATAATTTACAACACTGGTCTATAATGAAATTAACTTTATGCTCATAAAAGTTTACATTTATATATTTCGTGCTCTCTTCTTGCAGCCTTTCCACTCTAGGAGTCAGTTATTCTCAAAGGTATGGTTCAATACGTCTACCATATTTCTTTCACTTATTCATGTGCCATGTCTTGTATAGGAAAACAATATCATACAAACTCTTTGTATAGCTATTTTGCTAGTGTCTCTCTTGTCATTTTTAGCAGATTTTGTGACATTCTGTTTTGGTAAGGCATGTTGGAAGGTAGAGAACCTAAAAAATAAAGGCACATTGGAAGGTTGATTGCTGCTAGGGAATGTTCTCCTTGATTTTGAAGCCTTGTTGGCTAGAAATAGAATATCATAAATGCAACAGTAACTAGATATGTGGCTTCTAATGATATGATTATAAACGAGAATGATGTGTTTTACCTGCCATTCAAAAAAGAAAAATGATATTCTTTATCTGCGGTGTCAGTTTTACCTTTGTGGTACTTTGGAAGGATAGAGGCTGTATACACCTACTAATGTTTACCACGTAGTTTTCTAAGTGACAAAGAGAATCATTTGGAACTTCATACTGATTTGGGGCTACTTATCATAAATCAACTGGTATAAATATGGGCTATCTTCACGTAGAAACTGGTCAAATTTACTTCTTGATTGCAGGGGCTGTGTAGTGTAATAGAAGTTTGCATGTCAGAATCATGGGCATCTATTCTTGACCATGCCCATATATCTAGTTTGTTCTTGACCTAGCTCTATAATGTAGTAACTCAAATGAGAATCATAGACTTCGAAATATTTGGTCTTCCATCTTTTTTACTGCTATTTGGTTTCTATGGGAAGAGTAGAAGAGTTTTTTAGTTAAAACCCAGGAGAGAGCTTATTGTGAAAAGGATTACCCTAGACGTTCAGGCACTAGCAGAAGTTAAGAAGTGGTTTTCTCATTTATCAGAAAGGGCCATCATTGATAACCTTCGGATAACTTGGCAGCAGCAGAAGGCTGAGTCCTTTACTTCGGTAGCGTGGTCTTTTCCTGAGACTCATAATTACATACTCAATATTGATGGTTCTTCCTTGAGAAATCTAGGTTTAACAGGTGGTGGTGGACTTATCAGGAACAGTGCGGGCGGCTCTATTGTTGCTTTCACAAAGCATTTTGGTTTTGCTTTTAATAACCATGCCATAGATTCAAAAAGCGGACCGTCCAGCACTTAAGCGGTCCAGAAGGCCTGGGCTCATTGCCCAAGTCTAGGCGGCCAAACTGGGTGGTTTGTCCCTGGGCGGCCGCCCAGGGCCTGCACCTCACCAAGGGGCGGAAAAAAAAAACCGTGAGGGTATTTTGAGTCTTTTGTTTTTTTTTAAAGCCCCAAAAATTAGGGTTTTAGGTTCATTTGAAACCTAAACCTTGTTTGAGCCAAATTTAGAGAGAGGAAACCACCAAAAAGCTAGATTGTTGTGAATTTTTTAAGATCGAAGGGTTACTCAAAGTCAACCAGAATTGATCAAAATATCACCCATTGGTATTATATTTACTTTTTGATGTTTTACAAAGTTATTAGTTGGTGTTTTAGAAGATTTTGAGTATTTAGAAGCATCTTTGACGTAGAAGTTTGAAGATTGAGCAATCAAAATCAAAGTAATTGATGTTTTTTTATTGCTTTAGTAATTTGCATTATTTTTTAGATGTCTTCTTCGGGATCTAATAGGAGTGGTGACCCCGGTTGAAAATATGGCTATAACCCAGATCCTAATGATAAAAATTGCATAAGATGCAAGTTTCGTGAAAAAGATACAAAAGGGGGCGTAAACCGGTTCAAGAAACATCTTGCCGATATCAGGAGGGATGTTACCCCATATAAAAAGACTCCTGATGTTGTTACAGAGGAAATAAAGAAGTTTTTAGACATGGTGAAAATGAAAAAAGAGGCTGAAATTGCCGCAATAGCAGATATTAGGTCTGAGGTTCAGGTCAATTATGATGATGATGATAGTGATGAGGAAAAGATTAGGGAGGGATGTCAAGAGGTTGAGCAATTCATTATTAGGGGAAAGGGGAAGGGAGTTGTCGTTGCTTCTGGTTCTGGGACTAAGAAGCCTCGGGTTAGAGGCCCTATGGATAGTTTTTTACCTCGGCCTGACCCTGAGGTCAGGAGAGAAAATAAAAAAGCAAACCACCATTGAAAATGGAATCAAGAAGGAAGAGAGAGTTAGAGCTGCGTATTATTTGGCTACATGGTTTTATGAGGCGGGCATTCCTTTCAATTCCGTTCACTTGCGCAGCTTCTATGCTGCGATAGAGGCAGTTGGCCTATTTGGCCTTGGGATAAAACCCTCAACCCCATATGAGCTTTCAGAGCATTTTTTAAAAAAGGCAGTGCATGGCACGAACGAAGCTGTAGAACTTAAGAAGGATGCATGGGCTCAGTATGGGGTTTCTATTATGGCTGATGATTGGAGTGATAGGAAGAGCAGAAGTCAGATGAATTTGCTTGCGAATTGTCCTGTAGGGGCTGTTTTTTTTAGGTCTATTGATGCCTCTGATCATATCCATGATGCCCATTATATATTTCAAGTGATAGAGAAAGGAATCAAGGAGGTTGGGGAGCATCTTGTTGTACAGGTTGTCATAGACAATGCTGCTCCTAATGTTGCTGCATCTAATTTGTTGCGCATAGCTTATCCTAGAATCTTTTGGACATCACATGCAGCACATTGTATAGACCTCATGCTTGAGGCCCTTGGCGGTTTAACCAAGTTATCAGGTACAATGAAGAAGGCCAAGTATGTTACGAATTTTATTTATAGCCACCATTTCACCCTCAACATGATGCGTACCTTTACAAAAAAGAAAAAGATTGTGAGGCCTGGGGTCACGAGATTTGTGACCTGATTTTGCCTTGATATCATACATTCGAGGTGAGTGCAGTTGAGGCAAATGTTTATCTCAGATGAGTGGAGCGCATGCAAATGGTCTAAGGATCAAGTTGGGAAGAAGGTGAGAGATATTATTCTTTCTAAGGCTTTTTGGTGAGGGGTGAAGGTGCTCTTAAGGTATTTTTTCCTCTTGTTAAAGTCCTTCGCATGGTTGATTGTGACAAGCCTTCTATGGGCTACATATATGCTATTGAGAAATGTAAAAGAGAGATAGCCCAAAATTTCAATGATGAAGAAACCCACTACAAGCCTGTTTGGGATATTATTGATGAGAAGTGGGATAGGCAGCTATATCGGGCATTGCATGCAGTTGGTTATTTTTTAAATTCAACTTTGTTTTATTTTGACAAGGATATACAAACAAATGACACAATTATGAATGGATTTAATGAGTGTGTAGAGATGTTAGTCCCTTATCTTGAAATCTAGGATATTATATGCGCTGATGAGTTGATAAATTACAAGTGTTCATTAAAGTCTTTTGGGGCTCCAATGGCGATGAGGCAAACAACCAAAATTGGACCAGGTATTCATAATATTCTTAAGTTCATCTTTATCAAGTTCAAGTAATCAAATAATTCTATTATTTATTTATGATTTTTTTCTATATCTTTGCAGTCCATTGGTGGAGCCAACATGGGTGTAGTTTTCCAAATTTACAAAAGTTGGCCATTCAGATGTTAAACCTAACCAATTCTTCCTCTGGTTGTGAGCGCAATTGGAGTACTTTTGAAGGGGTAAGGCTGTAAGGGTAACTTGTATAATTTTATAAATAATATACGAACCATAAATATTAGATTTTAATTAGTTTCATTTGATTTTGTTAGATTCATACAAAAAAAAGGAACAGGCTTGAATCAAAGAGGCTCAATGACCTAGTCTATGTCAAGTACAATGAATTCTTGAAGGATAGGTTTGCTAAGAGAGATAAGATAGACCCCATCAGATCAAAAAATATGTACTATGGTTAGTTGATGATGATGAGGTCGAGGGGCATGAAGGATTGACATGGGACATGGTCATGGGTGCTTCAGGGACATCAGCTGACTCTCCTAGGGCCACTAGATCTTCTGCACAGAGAACGAGGATGGAGGAAGAGGAGGAAGAAGAGGTTGATTCAGAAGAGACGGAGGAGGACAGGGACGACCAATATGTCGAGGAGAGTGACGACGCTTTCGACTCCGATGAATATGATGCCAATGCAGCTGACCCAAGATTTTCTGATGATGAATGAATGATGATTGATGAATGTTGATTGTTGATTAATTATTAAACTTTGAAGTTTGAACTTTGATTGAAGTATTGTGTATTGATTATTGAACTATTGAAGATTCATTTGAGTCTTCAAGTATTACTTTCATAGTTTGATAGTTTCATTTTCGTAATTCAATTTTGTTTTCTTCCTCATGGTGGTCAGGTGGTGTACTGCAGTACTGGTGTGATACTATTTGATAACTTGCTTTGATAATTTGGTTGGTCGGAAAATTTTAAGTTTTAATTGGATATGGAGTATGAACCAACTTATGGATTATGGTTATGCTTATGGAGTGTGTGCTAAATGCTAAATAATATGTTGTATAATTTGAATTATGTCAGAATGCCATAACTGCAGAACTGCAGAATGCCAGAATCCTTATTTGGATTCAACTGGGCCGTCCAGGTTTTGGGCTCTCGCCTAGGCACTGGGCAGTCTGGACCCCCCAGGCAACCCAGGACCCGCCTAGTGCTTTTTGAAACATTGAACCATACAGAATTCTTGACATTTGAGGAAGGAGTTCAATTGGTCATTCAAAGTAATTGCTTTTCAATTCAAATTGAAAGTGACTCGGCCTTGCTTGTGAATGTCATTCAGAATTGATGCAATGCTCCATAGAGGCTAAAGATGATTGTAGGCAATTGTTGCACCAGACTGTCTTCTCATCGATGGTCCATTACACATGTCTTTCGTGAGGCAAACGTGGTTGCTGATACCCTAGCTAAGAGGGCAGCTGCTGGCTTCGGTGCTACTGTGTGGCGCCATAGACCACAAGATTTTCTTTCCTCTCGTTTATTACAGGATCTGGCACAATTGCCCTACCATAGGGTTGTATCTTAATTATTTTTCTTTGCTCTTTTATTAATAAAAAACGGGTAGGGGCCTTCTCCCCCACTGACTTACCCAAAAAAAAAAGAATCATATCCTTCATGGCTTCACATCATTTCTATGATTGCTACTTACCCATTCTTCTCCCTAGAGTTGAATTTTATTCTATTGAGAATTGTTCAAATTAGCCCTTATGTATCCCACCCTAGGAATTGTATTCTTAATAGATTACCCTTTATTAGCATCTATGAGTTGTATATGAATAAGTCATGGAAACGGAATATAACAGAATAGGGGGATGTGGGTCTTCACTGCACGGTGTGGAAGTGCATCATAGGTCTCATGATCTCGGCCATGGTACCATAGGAAGTGGGCCACCAAAAAGCCACAAAACGTTAGCTGTAAGCCACATATGGCTGTCAACACTAGACCTGGGTTTGCTGGGGCTTATGGCCCTGGATGCGGCCACCTATGACATTACAATCTTAGGTGCTAGGTGTCATGGTTGCATAGGTTTTACAACCTCATAGGTTTTACAACTTATCCCGTGGTCCCCATAAAGATCACTGTACAAGGCCATACTCCCAAAGAGTCATCATGCTAGGGCAGGGCAACATAGACCCCATCTGCTCATGTGGCCCTTTTAAACTGACTCACGCATCTTTTTCAAGATCAAACCCATGGTTTTGATTTTCAAATTCAGTCCAAGGGATATGTGAAACTTAATATTATAAATAAATTTAGAGAGATGTATTCTTTAGTTGCACACTCCTTTGTTAGCTCGTACAAGTTTGATCAACAGGAAAACATGATCCCGCTCAGCTTGGTGGACTCTCGACTCTAGAGATTCATCTATTCCTTAGCCCTTTCCCTCTCTCCAATAGCTCAGTCTCCCAAAGAAGGAGAGTTACATAAAGAGTTTCGAGTGAGAGTTAAGGATAAAAGTGCTCCTCACTAGATATGAAAAGAAACAACAGTCTGGTGCAAATAATTATGTCCTTAAGCATTAGATTGCACTATTCCCAGGACTGGTCATCATCCTCAGAGCTTTGTGATTTGAAAAGCAACATCCTGGCAGCCAGTCATGGTGAAACCTGCTACCTATTAAACCCTGCAAGCAACACACCCTTTTTCCTAGATTTTGCACCAGACATGTATGATTTAGAAAAGGTGCGAAACGCGGTACTCGGCTTATTGCTGTGAAATACTTTCCCGGAAATTATTTTGGAAAAAGAAGCCAATTGCAAGTTCAGCAAGCAAACTGAAAAATCTGCATCTAACCCTTATGTCCAACATTTCTAGCACCCTCAGTCATAGAGAATGACAATGTCCTAACATAACTTATCAAAAATCATGATAGGATTTCCAAAATTATTTTACTAAGGCTATCAACATTGTAACTTGGCATGACATTATCAAAGTGCCACAAGTGAGAAATATATATGTATAAAATAATCTTATGCTTTCTAATAAATAAATGGATTACAATTAGTGCAGAACTGTTCTCAGAAATAGGACCCAACGAAATGATGTATATATGCATATTTATAGTAATTTTACTGGCCTGCAGCAGAACACACCCATTCTTTTCTTTAAGAAGGTGTCCTCATGAGTTCCTCCAATCAAAACCTAGCATGCATCATTGCCTGGCTCCCCACCACCAAAGTGGTTACTGCTTTGGTGACACATTGCGCATTGAATCAAATCCAGTGGTTCACTGTTCCTGATCAACACCCATTGCATGGGTCGCTTCAATTTCTTGTGGCATACTGTTGGAATCGGTTACACTCAGTACATGTGAGAAGCACGTTAGTATTGGTACTTGTGTAATTGAAGTTTAGCATTGAATTGCTTGGCTCACCTAAGACAGAGTGCCAAGAGACATGATCTAACTACATATGCATAAAATCACATGAAGAACCATGAAAGCGATGCAACTAATGCCAGAAGCCAAAAGTACCGAGTATGAGAAAAAGACAGACAAATTCCTTGAAGGCCACAATTTCCTGAACACCATTGAAATGGTGCCAGAATTAAGCCTCAAGAGAAGATAACCATCAGTTGGACCATATCATTAGCTAATATCTCATGTTCAGCTTATTCACTACGAACAATTAAGTTATTTTTTTATGGAAAATTATATAAACCCTCCCACCCAAATAAGATTCTATGCATAGCCCCCTTGCCCCCACCCCCCCCTCCCCCACCATGCAGGACAGTTTTTTCTTTGCACCAACTTCGTTAATACTGTTTTTTACCTTATACCCCGCTGATTGGAGTTTTTAACTCATTTGGGACTAAGATGCCCCTGTTAGTCAAACGAGGCATTACATCAGAAGCCGGTCAGGTACATGGAGTGCCAGACGAACTTTTAGTTTATAATTGAAGCGGGTCCAGCACTCCATTTGCCAGGAACGACTTAAGTTTTGCATTAGAAGCCGATCTAGCACTTAATGCCAAACAGGATTTAGTTTTACAATTGAGGTCTATCCTGTTCATGGAGTGCCGGACCAACCTCATCTTCTAAAAGCCATTTAGAATCAAGTCTGTCTATTACAACAAGTTGTTGGACTGCCCTCGCCTTTTAAAACAATATTGTTTGAAACAAAGCAATATGCCTAGAAAGTGTGATCCAGGTGATCCACACAGTTTATATAGGCTGCGAAGTTTTCTAATTATTTATTCTTACAAATAAATGGATCTCATTATTGTGCAATTCTTTTCTGCATTGGGAAACCATTGGAAGTTCTGACTTGCATATGTAGTATCACTATTTTAACTTTTCCTAAGTTTATTTTCCTGGTTGCATATTTATTCTCTAGTGGCTAATTATGGATGTATCTCTTGTAGTTCATTAAGGTGATCTACTTCCAACTAAATCATGGTTTGCAACAAACCCATGGGAACACAAGTAATCGAGACAAAGGAGTATTTATTTTCATGGAAGATTCTTGGCTCAATGGGGACAACTTTTTGCATCATCTTTGCAAGGTACTCCATTTAAGGCAGGCATTCAATTGTGTACTACTTTGAATCTAAAGGATCTTTAGTCTCTAATGTTAAAGATGTGGCTGCAGGAATTCTTTTCCTTAACACAAGAAGCTACCACTATTGATGGGAACCTTCTTTTATGGGTTTGTAGAACTACCTTGCCCTTTTGTTATAGTTCTTCCTTTCTTCTCATTCTTCTTCCTTCTTTTTTTTTGGGGGTGTTTTTGGGGTGGGGGGGGGTGTTGGTAAATGAGAGTCAACACATTGGGATAATAATGCTAGTTTCAATTCCACCTTGACCACACGAATAAAAGAAATTGAATATGAATTGTTAATAATTGATCGATGCGGAAGGTAATTAAGATTGCAAAAACATTCATTTGTGTTGTTTGGCAGAAAATTATCTTTTAATCTGATTATGTGTTTCAAGTTTTAGTCATAACACAAATTAACATTGACATTTTGATTTCCACTTGAAAGGGCATCACACCATCACCATCACCATCACCTGAATTCTTTGGTTGCATTCCATAATTTTGAGGAAGCAGCACAGAATCTATTGTTTGTGGACCAGAAAAAGGTTCTACCTCTATGATAAGTGCAATGCGAGATAATGTCAAAGCACTTTATCCGCCACTTTTTTCTTTAATGTATCAAGAAGCACCCATGACAACTCCCTCTCTACCTTTTCCATCATACCCCTGTTACTCTCCCCCTTTACATCTATTCCATATTTTCGTCTTTAAAGGCCTTGGCTTCTGTCTTTCCCCATGTCGAGCACTCATTTTGAGTTCTAAGATAATGAACACTCCTAATCACATGGAGGCGTTGGGCGCTATGGACAAGCTATGTGGATAAAATATGTCATAAGAGAAGGTTCTATGAGTAGATCAATGTGATTTAGAATGGTGTGGCATGAGTGCGATTGTGAGCAGGCTTAATGGGAGATAGAGGGAGTTCTATCACTCTCCCCCTAGGTGTGCCATCTTGGCCTTGGCTCGAATGAGTTGAAAAACCGCAACGCTTCACTCGACTTTGGCTTAATGCTGAATGCATCAACTGTGGAGATTTTGGGTTAATCGTTGTCAAGATCGATATAGGAAGTCAAGTGGTAGGGTTGGTAGTACAGGTGGGCTTGACCGTGAGCCAGCGGAGCTTAGAAGGACCAAGGATGGGTCTCCTGTGTGAAGGATGTAGGGTTTTTGGGGCAGGGGATGAATCCTCAATACATCATTCTTCATGTTATGCAAACATGATAGCTGCTTTAATATGGGGCTGGTGGGGACCCAGGATATGTCTGCCTGTGCATTGCTATGAGAGAACCTTCACACTAGGCTGGTGCACATGTTTGGGATGGACCTAACTTGTCTTATGGGGGAACACCTTCAATCCACATCCTACTATGTCGTCCATCTACACCTGGCTACCTTTTATAGGCCCATCATGAGCCCCTTGCAAAGAGACATATGACTCATTTTTTTGTTGGTTTAGTTTGAGCAATATAGAGTGATTGCGGTCTCCCACTTATAAGTTTTTATGCCATATCCAACTGTATGCCCACTCTTTCCAGAGATCTTCCAATGTTTTGAAGTGCCTTTGTTTAAGAATAATAAATTGGTTTTTATTTTCTTGAAAGAGCAACCCAAATGTGATTTTATTTTATTAAATGGATGTAGGGTATTTCGGAATTATGTTTTGGTTTACTCCAAGGACTAAACCATATGATCTTGGGAAATTTAGACACATGGACCACATATTTGCCATACATGTGTCCACACAACCAAGTGCATCACATGGGCCCACTGACCTTGAACTCAATATTGACACACAAGGGCTTTTATGTGGTCTGGCCCACTGGCCGTGGGGCCTCCATGTCATTAGGCACAATGATATCCTAATTCTAGTTAGGATGTGATCATGTACTTCTAGATTCACTTGGATTTATTTTATTTTCTTAACTCAAGATTCTCAAAAAAGTTCATGTGGTGGATAGAATTCTATTTAGGAATAAATTTATTCTTAAAAGAAATTAAATATTTACCATTGGTTTATGATTGCTGACAAATCGGTGCAGGGCTGAGATTATAAGCCTCTCACCCCACAAATATCCTTTTAGGGGTTTATCTCCACACTCAACTCAAACTATGACTCTATAAAGGCCATGTAAGGGGTAACCCATATTCTCCCATGTAACACCTTATATGTTTCTGTTTGTGAGAAATTAAGGGGGTTTGTTGTGGTAAGCAGAGGGAGAAGAGATTTCTCCATGGCTGGTGAGTGATGGAAAGAAATGAGGAAGAAACAATCCTCCATGGGCTGAATGTTGAAGCCACAAGTTGACACATCCAAGGCCATTACAAAATCATGTGAAGTTCTGATTCATTAGCAGTAACAGGGAGCACATGGTGGAGGGCTCAAAGGATGGTGATCATAAAGCATGGAAGGAAGAAGAAGGACAAGATTTTTCATGCCTGAAATTCCATGGTAAAAGTCAACCTCCAGGACTACCACATTGGAAGCAGTCTAAAGACAGATCCAAAGCAACCACGTGGCAAAAAGGGTCTGTCATAGTTGCGGCAAGTCTTACCAAAATGATGAAGAACAGCCATGCCAAATAGGTTGGAGCATGAGAGGAAGATATGTTGTCTATGAGGTTTGCTCGTGGCACCCCAAACGGGTCACCTTGGGATTCAGTAGCCAAGGTAATGTATTCTTCACTCAATCCCAATTTGAGAAGGCATAGCAGTCCTTCTCAAAGGTCTTTCCACGTTCAAGAAGGGGGAAAGGTTCCCCTTATGTCGCTGCCAATGGTTTAAAAAACGGATCGGTGCCCTGAATCGAGCACCTCAAAAACCCATCTGGATCGGTGAATCGCCGATCCGGATCAGGAATCGGCCGAATCGGTCGGATTAAGCCCTAAAAGAAATCCGAAAAAGTTATTAAAATTCATTATTAATGTTGTCTTTTAGGAATCCAATAAGAAATGGGGGTACTCCATTAAGAATTTTCATTTTTTTGCATGAATATGCGAATATTGATATGCTCTTTCCCTGCATGAACTACTGTTTAGCATCTAATTTACATCACAAAATGATAAGCATAGAATTATCATGGATTAAGTACATCATCATACATGGAGCACAATAAAGCATACAATTCAACAAAAAATTTACAATAATATAGTCATCCATAATGCCACTACACGTACATTTGGCGCAAAAAATATTTACAATGATATTCACAATGCCACAAATAATATTTACAATGATATAGTGGGCACAATCCCAACTCAATTAAAATGATCACAAATAGTGGTACATCTCAATTACAAAAATGCAAGATAATATAATAAAAAATGCAAGCTCCAAACATGCCTACAACTCAATTATCAAGAATATATATACAATTAATGTATCAACATACATTTTTTTGCATTAAAAATTTAATAATAAAATTGAAAAATACAGGATAATATAATTATCATACATGCCACGATTTTTTTACAATGATATTCATACAGTTAATACCAAGAATATGCGTACGTGCCACAAATAATATTTACAATGATATAGTCATTCAAGATAATATAAGGATAAAATATTTATCAATCATATACGTACATTTTATGCATTCAAATTAAAAAATACAGTTTTGCATTAAAAATTTAACAACATGTATTTTTTTGCATTAATAATCTATCAACATGCAATTTTTTGCACTAAAAATTTAACAATAAAATTTAAAATTAAAGTTTAATTCCTCATTATAATCAAAACCTGGTCACGACTTTCACAATTTTTAAAAAAATCACGGTTTTTCAAAAAAATAGATCATCAAAGAAACACAATTCAAAAAACGCAACCACAACTCCTCTTCATCCGAAATCAAGCAATAAAAATTGCTTAATTCAACAAATTATGCCCAAAATTAATTGAATAACAATATTACCTTCAAAAACCCTTTAAAATAATTCACAATAGTACTTTAATTCGTCTAATATTGTAGTTTGGTAGGGGAAAAAAAAAAACCCTAACTGTTCTTCACAAAACTGTGACTCAAAATCGAAAATCCACTACAAATCCACCAAAATCAACACAAAATGTGTACAATTTCTAATGAATAACACATTCACGACTAATTTCGCTCTTATTTCATATAAAATAGTGATGTATTTCATCTGTAATTCAAAGAATGGCAGAAGAAAAAAAAATGCAGAAAAAACGTAGACATTAGTCATTTGAAGTCTATAATCCACCTCAAATCGAACAAATTAGATCTAATTGAATACATTTTATGATAAATAACATTATAAGGAATCAAAACCCTATAATATTAACAAATTATTTGCAAAAACTTGAATACAATCGATTGAATGGCGGAAAACTAAACTTCTTACTTGTTTTTCTGCAACTGTGGCTTCAAATCCAAATCTGAGTTGTAATGGACCAAAATACTTGCAAGGTATGATTAATTTCTTCTAAATAACACTCTTAAGATCAATAACCCTCAGATTTTACAAAAAATGATACCCTCTTTTGCTTGAAATCAAATAAATGGCGGAAACCTAAAATAAATGCGTTGTTCTTCACAAATCCACAATTTGTGATCGAAATTGAAGATTTCAACTCCAATTTATCGAATGATAAGGCTGAAAAGCTAGATAAAAAAGCTGAAATATTCAATTCACATGTTGAAAAAGCACGACAATTATCAAAAAAATGCCAAAATTTGATGACTCCCATCTCAAAACACTGTTCACCCGTGTTTGAACAGTGACTCGGGCGATTTACTGTTGGGAATCGCCTGGTTCTCTCTGGACACGGGCGATTCCCCGTGTTTCGCTAGAACCGGCACGGATGTGCCGATTCCAGAGTCAAACCGGGCGAGTCCGGTTCGACTAGCCGACTTTTTAAACATTGGTCGCTGCAGAAACAGAGTAAAGAAAGGCATTCTTTATGGGCTGTTTGAGTAACGTGAAGAGAGAGATTCTTAACAGGTTGTTGCGCATGTGCAATAGAAGAAGGCATCCTCTATGACTCCGAGATTAACAAAAGAAGATCGTTTATGGCTGCTGCTTTTTTGGAGGAAGGTCCAAAGTTCCTAGAGATGCACATGTTGGAGGTAATTGAGTTCTTGGATGAGC